TGTCAGGGAAAGAGTTAGTCAAAGAAAGAGTTCGTCAGGGAAAGAGTTAGTCAAAGAAAGAGTTAGTGAGGGAAAGAGTTAGTCAAAGAAAGAGTTAGTCAAAGAAAAAGTTAGTCAAAGAAAGAGTTAGTGAGGGAAAGAGTTAGTCAAAGAAAGAGTTAGTCAAAGAAACAGTTAGTCAGGGAAAGAGTTAGTCAAAGAAAGAGTTAGTCAGGGAAAGAGTTAGTCAAAGAAAGAGTTAGTCAGGGAAAGAGGTAGTCAAAGAAAGAGTTAGTCAGGGAAAGAGGTAGTCAAAGAAAGAGTTAGTCAAAGAAAGAGTTAGCAAAGAAACAGTTAGTCAGGGAAAGAGTTAGTCAAAGAAAGAGGTAGTGAGGGAAAGAGTTAGTCACAGAAAGAGTTAGCAAAGAAAGAGTTCGTCAGGGAAAGAGTTAGTCAAAGAAAGAGTTAGTCAAAGAAACAGTTAGTCAGGGAAAGAGTTAGTCAAAGAAAGAGTTAGCAAAGAAACAGTTAGTCAGGGAAAGAGTTAGTCAAAGAAAGGGTTAGTGAGGGAAAGAGTTAGTCACAGGAAGAGTTAGCAAAGAAAGAGTTCGTCAGGGAAAGAGTTAGTCAAAGAAAGAGTTAGTCAAAGAAACAGTTAGCCAGGGAAAGAGTTAGTCAAAGAAAGAGTTAGTGAGGGAAAGAGTTAGTCAAAGAAAGAGGATCGCAAGAATTCTGTTCCCGCACTGTAAATGGGATTGCAAGTGGTGCTGGTGGATGAGTTGCCGATGGAGTTTTGAAGGAAGTCTCGCACGAAATGCGTTTTTGAGAGATAGCAGATGCACGAACCCCTATGTTTTTCCATACAAAGTGCGTCCCCGAACCTCGATGATCTACCTCTGCGGTGCGACGGGTGCGAGACGGTCTCGTGTGTGGTCGGATCATCCTCGGATCATGGTCGGATCATGGTCGGATCGGTCTCGGATCGGTTCCGCATTGTAAATGGGGTTTCAACTGTGTTTCGTCTATGTGCGGTCGACAGAATTCCATTGTGAATTGCAACTGTAGGATCGTTCCCGCAATGTAAATGGGATTGCAAGTGGTGCTGGTGGATGAGTTGCCGATGGAATTCCATTGTGATTTGCAACTCTAGGATCGTTCCCTCACTGTAAATGGGATTGCAAGTGGTACTGGTGGACGAGTTGCCGATGGAGTTTTGAAGGAAGTCTCGCACGAAATGCGTTTTTGAGAGATAGCAGATGCACGAAACCCTATGTTTTTCCCCACATCTTTGTGTGGGGTTCTTGTTTTTGATTCTGTATCCCGGGCTTCTCCTCCTCCTCCCGCCGCCTCCGTAACACAACACACACAAACTTAACATACAATAATTTCACACACACAAACTTAACACACACACTTAACAGACAATAACTTCACACACAAACTTAACATACTATAATTTCACACACACAAACTTCACATACAATAATTTCACACACAAAAACTTAACACACACACAAACTTAACACACACAAACTTAACAGACAATAACTTCACACACACAAACTTAACATACAATAATTTCACACACACAAACTTAACATACACAAACTTAACACACACAAACTTCACACACACACACAAACTTAACAGACAATAACTTCACACACACAAACTTAACACACACACAAACTTAACAGACAATAACTTCACACACACAAACTTAATATACAATAATTTCACATACACAAACTTAACACACACACACAAACTTCACACACACACAAACTTAACAGACAATAACTTCACACACACAAACTTAACATACAATAATTTCACACACACAAACTTCACATACAATAATTTCAAACACACAAACTTAACATACGCAAACTTAACAGACAATCACTTCACACACACACACACACACCGTCGTTTTGCGTGGCAGGCGTGGTACACATGGCACTGGGTGGCGCACTTGGTGACATCCACCCTCGTTTCACGTGGCAGGCGCACAAAACTCGCATCCACCGTCGTTTTGCGTGGCAGGCGTGGCACTCATGGTACTGGGTGGCACGCTTGGTCCGGATTTGTCGCCTGTGACGCCGCGGCACTTTGTGTGGCAGGCGTAGCACTTGGTGACATCCACCCTCGTTTCACGTGGCAGGCGTGGCACAAAACTCGCATCCACCGTCGTTTTGCGTGGCAGGCGTGGCACTCATGGTACTGGGGGGCGCGCTTGGTCCGGATTTGTCGCCTGTGACGCCGCGGCACTTTGCGTGGCAGGCGTGGCACTTGGTGACATCCACCTTCGTTTCACGTGGCAGGCGTGGCACAAACTCGCATCCACCGTCGTTTTGCGTGGCAGGCGTGGCACTCATGGTACTGGGTGGCGCGCTTGGTCCGGATTTGTCGCCTGTGACGCCGCGGCACTTTGCGTGGCAGACGTGGCACTTGGTGACATCCACCCTCGTTTCACGTGGCAGGCGTGGCACAAAACTCGCATCCACCGTCGTTTTGCGTGGCAATCGTGGCACTCATGGTACTGGGTGGCGCGCTTGGTCCGGATTTGTCGCCTGTGACGCCGCAGCACTTTGCGTGGCAGGCGTGGCACTTGGTGACATCCACCTTCGTTTCACGTGGCACCTGTGACGCCGCGGCACTTTGCGTGGCAGGCGTGGCACTTGGTGACATCCACCCTCGTTTCACGTGGCAGGCGTGGCACAAAACCTGCATCGACCGTCGTTTTGCGTGGCAGGCGTGGCACTCATGGTACTGGGTGGCGCGCTTGGTCCGGATTTGTCGCCTGTGACGCCGCGGCACTTTGCGTGGCAGGCGTGGCACTTGGTGACATCCATCTCGTTTTACGTGGCAGGCGTGGCACAAACTCGCATCCACCGTCGTTTTGCGTGGCAGGCGTGGCACTCATGGTACTGGGTGGCCCGCTTGGTCCGGATTTGTCGCCTGTGACGCCGCGGCACTTTGCGTGGCAGGCGTGGCACTTGGTGACATTCACCCTCGTTTCACGTGGCAGGCGTGGCACAAACTCGCATCCACCGTCGTTTTCCGTGGCAGGCGTGGCACTCATGGTACTGGGTGGCGCGCTTGGTCCGGATTTGTCGCCTGTGACGCCGCGGCACTTTGGGTGGCAGGCGTGGCACTTGGTGACATCCACCTTGTTTCACGTGGCACGCGTGGCACAAAACTCGCATCCACCGTCGTTTTGCGTGGCAGGCGTGGCACTCATGGTACTGGGTGGCGCGCTTGGTCCGGATTTGTCGCCTGTGACGCCGCGGCACTTTGCGTGGCAGGCGTGACACTTGGTGACATCCACCTTCGTTTC